GTCTTCGTCTTCTTACTGCGCTTTTCAAAAATTTATTTACTTGTTTATTTATAAGGCCACACTGTCCCATTTCCCTGGCGGCGTTCAACGTTCGCACTCTAGGACACAGGTCAACAGGCACACGCGGGTCGGACACATTGGGTATTGACGTGCGTTGTATGTCCAAAATTAAGGACAATGACCCTCACGATGTTATTAAATTAACTGCCCCCGGCTTGTCCTCTCGATATTGGTTACAAGTATCGGGAGACGGTGACGCGCCAATCCCTGCTTAAGCTGGGGTGGGCATTGTTCTCAGCTCCAAGGCAGAGTCATCCTTGGTTGATTGGAGTCCCATGAACAGCCCGTTTGACGACATCAACTAAGCTGAATTCCCGAAATAACACAAGACGCTGTTTGTTTGTGGTTTCAGCTTATGCTCCCACTGACTGAAATTCTGGTGCTGCCAAGGACACAAGCTACCACGAACTGCACACCCTATTGCGCAGTGCTATCAGTTCAGATATCGTTGTTGTTGTTGTTGTTGCGGGGGATATGAATGCGCAAGCAGGTCGCCTGGACGTTTCAAAAGCTCAGCTAGGTGGTAAATATGGGCTTAACTTCAAACGGACGGACAACGGCGATCGTCTTTTGCAACTGTGTGCAGACCACCAGTTGTTTCTTACTAGCACTGCTTTTAGACACAGTGGGCGCCGAAGTGCCACTTGGCGTCCTCCTGTAGCTGACCAGCGATGGACCCGAATCGACACAAGTTACAGGTAACGTGATTTCATCCTGGATTGCCGCTCGTTCTGAAGTACTTGCGTCGATTCTGATCATGCTTTGGTACGCTGTCGTTTCACCATGAACTTTACCGGGAGGCACACCGAGCGTCTCTCTCGATTGGCAACTGAGAAACCAAGCGGCACAAACATCCCGAAGCTTTACGGGTTATCTTATTTTGTCCATGGTTGATTCGCCCTATCATGCACGCGCAGTGGCTTGTTGAAATACATGAGCTGGTAAGACAACAACAGCTTTAAGATAGCTTTCAATCCATTCAAAACCGTAAAAATTGCAACATCAAGGAGAAAGTAATGTTCCTCTTCGACGTCGTCTCCCACTTCACCAACGTTCCGCTGCTGGAGACGGTCGAGTGCATATGTGGCCATATAACGAATTCAGGAATAGAGGTGTGTCTTTTGTATTGTATTGCGGCACAATAGCTGTGGCGTTCTCCACCTTCAGCTAACGTGTATAATGATAATGATGATGGTGTCTCGCTGCGTGAACTGAAGAGCATCCTTTTGCGGTGTACCTGGAACGTGCGGTTCCTATCTAATTATAAGTACTACCGGCAGAAGGATGGTGTTGTCATGGGATCACCACTCGGTCCATTGTTCGCTGACACTTTCATGGTGAAATTAGAGAACACCAGGCCACAAACAGATAAAAACACCTTTGAATGATACCACCGTTACATATATGATATCTTTGTCGTGATTGATGAATGCAGCAACCTAGTCCCCGACCACTTTAACCTGGCCCTCGCAGCGATGCAGTTAATGTATGAGAAGGAAACAAGCAATCGGTTGCCAGTTCTTGACGTGTTGCTAGTCAGAAGAACAGACGGCTCCATCCAATGTCGTGTCTACCGGGAAAATACGTGAAGCGGACAATATACCAACAGGTTTGTTCCTCGGCGATATAAGCGAAATTTGATTCGCTGTCTAACATCAAGGGCACGTAAGATCTGCACAGAAAACACGTTGAATGATAAATTGGCATTCATTCAGAATGGTTACTCTGACAGATTCATTTCTAAGAACATTCCGAGGAAGCGCAATCCGGTACCGGTATTTAGGCTTCAGAAGAAAGAACCACTCATAAGACTGCCTTTCAAAGGTGATGCGGCAGCAGAACGCTTATGTAAGAGTTTCCTCTGCAGTTAAACATATTTTCCCCGCGGTGACCCTGAAGTGCACGTTCTCCACAGAATCGCTCATTCGTGGTTAAACAAGGACACGGTGCCAATGCTGAAAGCTTCAATGGTCATCTAGAAATTCAGGTGCGTCTGTGGTGCAACTTATGTCAGTCGAAAGGCGTGGCACCTGACAAAGCGCAGCAATGAGAATCACCCACGTTGGTTACGTCAAGGTGGTACTGGGGCTGTTAAAAAGTCCATTTTGCCTCACCTTGTCGACACTGGGCGTCAAATAGAAGTGAACCGTGCCTTTCGGAGAATCTACAGGATCCCGACGTTGAAATCGAGTGGCTTACGCCCTCGTATGCTTATAACAGCAGAGGCAGTCGTTATTCGGTTTTTCTTATAAGTAACTAATCCAGATTCTGCAGCTGCCTTGGACAGCGAAGGTAGAAGATGCTGAAGCCAGTTGCGCTGGATGGAAAACCTAATCGCCCTAGCTTAGATTGCCCTTCGGTTCAGAAACCTGGCGGGCACGTGAAATGATTCAATTAAATTAATCCGATAAATTGTACTCCCACTACTATTTTCGTTAGATGATTGTACAGGCCTGACGAGGTATCACCGAAAATTTATTCACCTCTGGCTCCATGTTCTCGATAGTTAAATGGGGATTTTCAAGTTGTTGAAACTGAAAGTTAGCTCTCGGTCTGACAAGCCTACCAGGATGCCCTGCATGCCGGACTGTCGCTGTCTTCTTCTAATGACACTGAACTTCAGTGGAATAGGAGCTCATTCGCCATGCACCGTGCAGGAGCATCTAGTGTTACTATCAATCGTCACCGTATCAGTCACTGGATAGACGAGAGGTCGATAAACCTGTTGGAACCCAAAAGAAAATTCCCACAGCTCTGAGCATAGTGTAACCAGACGGAGTAATAGGCGCAAATAACGGCGTAGCCTGCGCTCTGACAAGGAAGTCTGGTGGACTACTGTGGTACAAGAAATGGAGTAGGCTGAAGCAGTAGGCAATTACCACAAGCTATTCCGGCTGATCCGCACCACTGTTCTCAGGAAAGCAGGCATCAGTGAGACAGAGACGGCGAGTGTGCGTTGTATTTCAATAAGGAGTGCCACCTATATCTTTAGGCGGAGCACTTTCCATAACAGTTCATACATTCACTCATTCATTTATTATACACGTTAGCTGGAGGTGGGAAAAACCTTAGCTACTGCGCCGAAATACATGAAAGAAAAAAGGGAAAAATGCAACAGGCGCAAGCCAGCTGAGCTACCGGTAACGGATGGACACTATACACAATAGCTAGAGGAGGGAAACACTTCAGCTACTGTACCGCAATAATTAAAAGAAAAGAATCGGAATAAAATGCTACAGGTGCAACCCGGCTGGGCTACCGGTAACGGATGGGCATCGTTCCGGTAAGCTATTTGCCGGTTACTATGCAGCAAAAAAGTAACTTCCTATGCAAAATTATAAAAGGTTAAACAATGAGACTGTGGTTGGAGGGGGAGCCTAAGAGGGATGGGGTGGGACACAGAAACTCACAGCACGAACACCACTGAGGTCGGCTCCTTGCCATATCAGCAAGTGTGTCCAACCGGACGTGTTCACCGTCTTTCGGACCCCAACCAGGGAGTCGAGACGCTCCAACCGAGGCCAGCTCCGAAGTGAGGGCCTTCATTCCTCTCGACCAAGTCATCGCTTGGCCACCTCTTCTTCCATCCGCATTCCCGGCGCGCAAACAACACACGTCGCGGGAGTAGGTGGGCTGGCATGCGTAACACATGGCCGTGCCATCGGAGCCTGGTGCGTGAAATAAGGGTGCTGAGAGGTTCAGTTCCTTTTCATGTGCCGTAAACAAGGAGTCGAACACGCTAGTTGTTTATTCGGTGTTCCCACCAGATGTGAGCCAAACTGCGAAGGCACCGGTGGTAGCCTCTTTATGTCCGCTGATCTAAAGGGCTAGGTTTCACACCCGTACAGTAGGGTCGAACGTACGGCTGCATTGTTTACTCTACCCTTCAGGGAGTGATGTCGCGCCGACTATATGCATTACGATTGTGTTGAAGAGCACCGATGTGACCAGGACAACCGCGGGTGTCATTTGTAACAGTTGCACTTCAGTGACCAGAGACCGCTTGGACTGTGGCGGGCAGCAGCAAATCGGTGAGTTAAAGTACGTGTTTCATAGCCGTCAGAGACAGTCAGTGGCGTTCGTGCTGTAGGCCTATGGAGCTGAGCTTGTAACCTAACTGTTATCTTAAATGACTGTACCTTTTGGCAGAAGAACCACCGTCCTTTCTCGAGGTTCGATGGGGAGAACGCAAAGTGCTGTCTGACCTGTATCGGAGGCACCGAGCCACTGCCGCACATCAAACTCCAATGAATCGCAGAGGGACACATGTCATCGAACCACGTCGAACTGTAGTCTCAACGCAAGGAAAAAAACGACTGTATTTCAAGCATTTTAATATACATTGCAACGCACTCCACCCCATGTGAATTACATGAATATAAGAGCAACAATCTGGTGTGTAGGCACAAGAATATTCTGAAGCATCATTTTCCACCATGTGTCCATGTAGACATGAGTATGCCCTATTGGAGTGTTGATAACACCACCTTAGCCGTTATACGAGGAGGTACGTAAGCAAACTCATCAGTCCCTGAGGTAAACAGAACGTGACCCATATCTCACTGCGCTAGTCGATAATGGTGTCTGAAGCTAAGGGGACGAAAGGATCGCGCACAAAATGAAGGTGGAGAGCGTGCGCGATCGCTAAGAAATATTGAGAGCAGGTGCAGGCTAAAAGTGCAACAGGATGCGACAACGTGTCTGCTTGCTCCACTGCATGTAAGCTCAACACTAGGTACGCACTTTAATCCGCTTCTGCACATAGGTGAGTGAAGCGTTCGTGACCTTGGTTCCATTCTCTCAGTGATAACCATCAGCATCGGCAACGGGTAAGTGCAAATCCGTACCACATACTGCACACGCAGATTGAACAAGAAATAGAAAATCCATGGTAAACTACACATTTTAGAATGCAAATGTGAAGAAAACGGGTAACTTACAAATCTTGACCGCATTTCTTCGGCAGTGACAACCTAGTCGAAAGGAGAGTAAACATTTAAAGTGGGTTAATGCATGGGATTACAGACAAAAAGCACTGAGAGTAGATAGGTGGTGTCTAGTGTTTACTGAAAGGTCACAACGAACTCGTTAATTCGTAGCAACATTATATTATGCTTACATATTTGCATAAGTATATTTGTTACATAAACACTAGTAGTATATTACATATAGCCAGCTGACATTTTCTATCCGTTGCATTGACCACAGTTTTAAAAATTGTAGTGCCATCAGACAACAACAACAACTCTAAGCTCTGTCTACTTAAGCCTACGAGTTTCAAGGCAGCTTTCTTCGCAGTTTTCTTGTTTTTACCTTATTAATTCATGGGAATTTCGAAACACATCAATGGGAATACAAGATGTTATTCCTTTGCGACATGTAACAACGGCGAAGCACTGTTTCTGAATCCGACACCTACAAATCTCCTACAAGTTGCCTCAGTCAAGTACCACGCGCATTCGAATGGAACTTGTACACTGCAATGTATGGGTAGCACGACGAAATAGCATCCCACAGAGCAGCTTCAAAACAAACGGTAGTCCCACCTCTTGTGTGAACTCGCCGTTCGGAATTAGGTTGCCGCCATACCGTAGCTCTACGCTTATCCGTCCAGTTTGTTTCGGTGTGTAGCACACACTTGTGGTTCCGTCTTTGTTGTCCTCCGTCTCCACAGGAAGGAATGTGGCAGAGGCTCCGGGTTTTGTAGGTGGCTGCACGACCTGACAGGTCAGTCGACCTTTACCACCCATTGCAGTGTCCACCAGAATCATGTGCTCAACGCCCACTTGGATAGCCTCCTTGACGGTATCTGGCAAACAGAGAAAGGTAATGGGTCAGTAAAATCAACACACAGTTTTTAGTATGAACTTGAGTGAACGAGGACAGACAGAATGCATGTATGTATGAAAGGTGACTCAGCCACTCTTCCATCGGTCGATACGTGCCCAAGGGTGGGTGGATTTATCTGCACTTTCGCATCAAATCAGACACGTCTTGCACTAATAGGAACGTCACCAACACAAGCGAAACCAGTCGAAAGGTTAATGAGTCATGCAAACAGAGATTAAATTTCGTCCCCAGGTATTCGATCCAGAGGTGGAGTACCAGCTGGAAAATGTCCCGAAGAGGTGCGTAGTAAACAACACAAGCGTCCGGAAGTGGAAATTATTCAATCACGCGCACCTCACACCGCAGAGATAACTAACCATCAATGATACAAGTGTCCACACCCGAAGTGGCAAAAGATGCCGCCTTACAATACGATGCCAATAGGAAATACACAGCGACTGCAATTTGAAGATGAACGGAGCGTGGGTACTACCAATGATGGAGAACAGGCTCGACTGAAATCAAAAGTTAAACCATACCTTTAATTTCGCAGAGATCAGCTCTGCCAGTGGGGATACTCTGCACAGTGAATGGGCTAGGCTCTGTTTCCACTCCGGCGAACATGATGTGGATTTTGTGCGGTCCAACCATGTATGGTTCATAGGTGCAGGATAGCAGACCAGTCTCGCTGACATCACCCGACGCCAAACTGGTGACAGAGGGAACCATGCCATTGGTGGCCACAGACTCGCTGTCGACAAACAGAGGGACAACTCGGATTGGAACCGATTGACCTTTTGGATCCTGTGAATGGGGGGACCGGAGATTAGTACAGCGTTTAGAACATGTGTATCGAGAATTCGAACTGCAATCTCAGAAGGAAGTGACAAAGGTGATCCCAAAGCGTCCCCTCTGAAGCGTGTGCACGGGAATCACATGGCTCAAAAGATCAGATCACACAATGGCTGTACCAGTTACATCTATATGCAACTGTTTTTTCCAGTACATATATATATATATATATGCTGGAAAATACAGTTGCATGTCGATGTAACTGGTACAGTCTTCATGTTATTCGGCGACGCTGAATCACGGTGGAGAATGCGATGGAGGAATACACCTAGTGCGTTAAAGATCAAAAACCTAACAGCAGTTTTTGGAAGCCATGTAAGTAGGATAAACGTCTGGTCTATGAAATATATACTATCACAGCAGTGGATGAGCGATATTGGCTGCAGATGTCGCACATATTCAAAGCACGAGCCGCATGAGATCCAGAAAATAATGAACTTTCGTTTTAAGTGCCTTCAGAAAAATTTGGTACAGAGGCACATAGTCGAGATACAACAACAAGAGCGGTGAACGGTTACAGGCAAATAAATTCGATACCCCACCATCGGTAGTCGCCGACTATGAATCCAGACTGACCACGTACAAAGGATAGGGAAGAAATTAACTTACGGTCAAGCCCAATGTCAGATCGCCAACACCGGCCTCTCGTGCATCGACCGTGAATGTTGCGGGCAAACTGGCTAATACAGGTCCTTCAACACCAGGGCCAAGAACTCGCACACGTTCCGGCTCACAAGATTTGCGTATTCGGACGGAAAACGGAGAACCGGGTACGTGCTTGCCATCGAAAAGAACTTCAATTTGACAAATACCCTCCGCTTCCGGAGTGTAAGTCACTTTGTGATAGTGATGTTGCTGCGAACGGTCTTTGTCCAAAGTGCTTCCTAAAGGCTGTATTTGAGCCGGACGCAATTCTTTTCCCGGTTTCGGGGTGTACTTGACCTGATAAATAGGAGTACAAAGTGGTAGGTAATTATCTGAGGTACAAAAATCAAGCACCGGATCAAGCAATTTCAACAAACGACAACGAACGATATACAACATAAAACCAGTGAATGATCGAGGTGACCAGGTTTGCTTGACATACTAAGCTTGGGGTGAACGGACATCAGATAAACAAACCAAAAGGGCAAAAGTGAAGAAATAGGGTTAGTACATGAAGTCCAATTACTGGCATTGCCGGTGGTTGCACAGCAGTGTCAAGCCGAATCCGCAGACATAACGGGAATAGAGGAAGGCTGACCCGCAAACCAAAGAGGTGAAGGAAGTGATCTAAAGTAACATCAGGACATAACAGTAAAGAGGCGAATTTGGGATGAGTGGGTTCCACATACGTCCACTTATTGGTGTTATCGGCATACCAGTAACCATAACCACAGTGCGGAGGAAACGGATTACCAGAGACAACAGATTCCCTGAACGTAAGTGCCACAGCAAAAATGCATCACCTAGATTCTTCCCATGACGTGAGGAGCTGGGTGTGCAATCGCGTCCGGTGGTAGCCGCATCACTACCATGGGAACAGACACTGAGCCACCCACGGATGAAACAAGCGCACGCCTCAACCCTGGTAGTTGAGGAGGCACTGCCGCAGAATACAATAGGATCTACATCTGTTTCTGCTCGTATTTTTGCAAAAGCCATGCTGTGAATGCAGTGGGATTACCACAAAATGATTGTGATGCGCAGACATAGGTGATTATAGGAGATTAAAACTATCACATATCAGTGGTCATACCTCGCAAATACAGTAGAGAGGTCAGAGGATAGAAAGTCATCATGATCGGTTCTTCTAGTCAGGACGTACGAATGGGGTCAACCAAGGCACTCAAGATGTGCACACAGGTTTTGTTCGTCACGAGGTCTTGGTGTTGCACATGAATATCGAGTTGGGTTAACATATCAACAATTTGGGTTCCACCATCTAAGGTCTTATGAAAGCAACGGCGGAGTCCGTATGACAGTAATACTTTTCCAGTCAACGGTCATATACTCAGTGTCAAGAGATTTAGCTTGGTTGAATTTACATGCTTAACGGATAAAAGTGGAATATGCTCGCAGTTCACACGGAATAACTACGCCCAAGATACACACGAAGAGGAATGGGATCGAGTGTCCAATACAAAATAGAGCAGGAAACCTGACAGTTAGTAAGAGATGGTATGAGACTGTTTACATGAATGGGTGGTCCTGACTACGGATAGAGGCAAGGGGATACAGAACCGAGTGCGGTACAAATAAGTTACCGTCAAAGTGTCCCCATCGATTGAAGATGCTAACAGATAAACACTGCCAAAAATATTGGCACCGTGTAAGTAACTCCCAGTTCAAACAGGTCATATCTAACAGAATGACTGGCACAAGTAGATGGTAAGAGCAAAGTCCTACCAGTGGAAATTCCACTTTTCGCAATGAAAACGGACCTTAACATAGCGTAAAGATTCTTGCAACTCGCCGATCTGTGGGGCTACACCAGGCAGCGCATTAGCTTTATTGATAACTCTTTCTACTGAGTTGTCCCCATGGTTTCCTAGGTTGAGTTGGAAATGAGGCTGCGCCCACTGCACCCAAGTGGTTTTAAAACAGCACACCGTTGGGCAAGCTTATCAGGATACATTGGATGTCCAACTGTACTGAAGACACTGAGTTTCAAATGTACAGTAAATCAGCTACCAAGCATGTTTTATGAGCCTAAGTTAGCGGCAGTATCAGGCTTCGATGCGACGGAACATAAGTATTTGAAAGGTCAGCGAAACTGCTGGAATTTAACAGAAAAAGCTGTGCCGGCGCCGAAAAATGTGACCGAGCAGGATGTCAGATACGACTTGATCAATAGTTTGCTCGTGAGTAGGGAATTCTAGGGGGTTCAGAAGAGGGCAAGAACTGAAGGAGGCAGCGGTGGTGCGTAAATTACGGAAACTCCAAAGAGTCCGCACCACGTCTCATGAAAGCATCCGTCAGTGAAGCAATCAGGGGTACACCGCCGCCTAAGTTCAAGATAAGGAACGGCGTCGGGTTCAGTTGGAGGCACTTTCGGGAGCAGTTTGGTCAACATACTCAGGTGGGAGTAGTCGAATTATGGTCGCTTAGTTTTTGGATCCAAACATCATCAAAAACCCCGATCGTCCGGCAATGACGGTCGCCGGATGTTATCACATCCCTGCTATTTAGAGATGGTGCAAAGCATTAGACTGTCTGAACTGGCACGGAAGGAGACAGTCCCACATGACTAGGGTGATTTGATCATAGTAGCAATATGCAAACAAATTCCGTCGCACACGTCAGCCGACTTGTGAACATGGTAACTGCATAACTCGAAAGTTTTGCGGCTTAATTTGATTCCGCTATGGCCTAATACGACTAGGAAATGGTATAGTTGGTCTTGATACGGGTGACATTGCCTTAGTGTTTACCGATGTAGGGGTGGATAAGGTGGGTAGAACCTCTAGGATAGTCCCATCGTTCGGCATGCGCTTCGCACCTTCAAAATAGAAAGTGTTATTGCAGCACCACCATCCACTTAAAGATCACTTGAAACTTGATAGCGAGGAGCTCGAGGTTGTAGACCAATTCTCTCACCTTGACAGCTGCATCAGGAAAGATAGGCGCATAACCACTGAAGTCAGTTCACGTATTGCAAAAGCTGGAACTGCCCTCTTGAATCTACATCTGTGCCATCAGAAGAGCCGTGTTTGCATGGCTACAGCTAGCAACGCCCTACTTTAGGGGGGTGAGACACGGGCCTAAGTTATGCGGCGCCTTCCAATAATTGATCAATGATTCCTGTGAATCATTGCTGATGTCGGATGGCACCAGTGTGTCCGCAACGATGAGGTGCGTATGAGAGGTTAAACGGTGATAGGCTAGTTCTTCAGAACAAGAGAGAGCAAGTTGCACTGCCCTGGACACGTACTGCGTATACCCGGTCACCGCTTACAGGAGCGGGCCTTGGTTTGCCCACCTCATGTTGGATGTGAGCGAAGCTCCAGGAATGACAGCAGAGATTGAGTTGGCAACGGGAAATGAAGTCATTGATGATTGAACTATGCGCTGCTGGTCCAACCCGCCCATCTGAGTGAAGTGCACGTGACCCCCAAGCTTAATAAATGATAATGTGTCAGCTGTACACCGTAACGGCGCTCTGTTGCCGCGCAAGCACCACCAGTAGCGTGTGGGCTGAGTGTACTGCGAGGACGCCCGACCCTACGAGGATTCGAACCAGTGACCTTATGGTTGCAAGCCAGGCGTGTAGACCACTTGGCCACCGGCCGACGTTACGGGACAAAGCTCACAGTACGCAATAGTGGCGCGTGTTGCCATCTCTTAGTTGGACGTTCTATTAAGCCTGTTTGCTACTGAATTAGCCATAACGTAAACATTCTTGTGTATCTGCGAAAATCGTAAGAAAACTACTGCACTGATGACGCTTAAGCTAGGAAAAAATCGAGCTATGATTGCGTTTTATGAAGGTGCAGACGCCTTAAGCCCAAATGTTTGCTTAAGGTATTTCGGTTTCACATCAGGTACACTTTTTCCCCTCTCATTGTCATTCCTCGGCTACAGGATCGTTATGGTCGATAACAAGGCGCTGCTACGCTGCTGAATACTGAAAAGAGAGCTAGCAGACAGACATAAGTGTTTCTCCATCTGGCACATAAAACCAATTGTTACTGCGCAGTCAACTTAGTTCAGCTGCGCGACGCGCTTTCCATAGTTGTAATCCATAAAGTGGGTGTACAGGAAGTTCTTGAATTCGGACACCAATTTCGCCTCCACTATTGTCTCGGGCAAACTATTCCAATATTTCACTATTCGACGCTCGCAGAATGGGTTTGTATCGGTGTCTTCGAGTGATGCTTGTTGCACGCACATACAGAAGCGGCCTTAGCATAGGGAAGCCACCCAGATGCATCGATGATGGTGATGAGTACAAATGCCCAAACAGGAACACATGCAGGTTAAACGAAGCGAAGCGAAACGACAACACCACCAATAGAAACTGGGAACAGTGCCCCCTGAGAAAAGAGAAAAGCGTAGAACTGACGAAGTGATGATGCAGGGCTTCACCATGCAGACCACGGTGATCAGCTAGCATGGACAGATAAATTGGCAGTCTCTTCGTACTCAGGATAAGCAGAACGAAACACGTTTGACAGACAATTAGTGGAAATATGCAACAAGGGAGTCAAGCTTCAGCTTCCGTTCACCTTGGCACAGAAGTGCGAGAGATATACATATCACGATCACCAAAACAAGACAAAGCGTAACAATCAGCTGATCAACACAAATAAATTTGGGCACGTATCATTAGACAAGAGGCGACAAAAAGAACGATAACGGTTGAACTATAATAGTAACTGCTAGAGACAAATGGCTGAACATCAGACCACCAACGGCTTCGTGACTGTGCCACGTGAAGAAGGATAGCCGAGCTCCCCATGCACTGTCCTGATCAAATATTGCTGTCATTTTCCACATGTCTCATGTCATGTTATCGACTGAACGTCTAGAGGGCCCACCTGATCAGATGCAGCAACGGCGAACAATTCACATCTGAGAAGTCAGTCAGTGAGCGCACGAAGGATGTGACCCAGACGGCGCAGGATATTTTTACCAAGTCCCCAGATAGTGGACATTTGTATCATTCACTAGGTGACCCCACTAAGCAATGTCCGACAACCAGTGATGGTCAAAGAGAACTAAGTTCTTTCCAATATTAACATGCAGTGTCCACATCTCTGGGACCTAGTGATCGATCATGATCATCATCACCAATTTACACGTAAGCTAAAGGTGGGAAGAATCACTAATATTGTGCATGGAGTACAGCCCATCCTTCATCAACAGCTTGATATTCCACTGTCGCCATGGATGATCCGGTCACACAGGCCACATTGATGAGCATAGTAACCGCGTTGGTAATCTCATTGACAAAAGCGGTAAGACGAACACACCATCGTCAATACATGCTGGCGGAAAGTGAGAAACACACCTCAGCTAATCTGCTACAATATAAAAAAGATAAGATTTCAAACATTAAAGACTAAAAAACTGGAAAAAAACAAGAAACGTAATGCCAATTATCACGGAGTGCATTGCGTATGAGCCCGTTGTTGGGGGGGGGGGGGAGTTAAAGGAGAGGGAGTGCAAAGAAACTCACAACAGACGCCATTGAGGTCGGTCCCTCGCTATGACAACAAGTATATCCAACCAAACATGTTCATCATGTTTTCCGGACTGCATGACTGGGGTCCGGCAGTCTCGAGCCAAGCACAAGTCAGGTCACGTGGACCCCAGCATAGAAGGCTAGACGGACCAACGGCACCCAGTTTGGTCGTCAGTGACTTCATTTCCCGCTGCCAAGTCAACTTCTGTCCACCTCCAGCATTTCGCCACACTACACCTGGCAGACTAAACAAGATACTCCTAGGTAAGCGGCATTTGTAGCACCTGCCCAAGACAACGTAACTTATTCAGTGCTATCAGTTGTTCTAGGGAAAAATCAGGATTCTCACTATTAAGTATTCGCCTACGCACATCATTGTTGCGGACACGCTGGTACCACTCGACACCAGCAATGCTTCGCAGACAACGATGATCAAAGAGTTGAAGGTGCCTCAGACCGAAGGGGCCGTCTCACTACCATAAAGCAGAACGGCCCTCACTGTGGCCTTGTATTCACAGCCTTTCAGACGGAACGGAACTCCCTTCTGTCGCCAAAGATGTCACAGATTCAAGAAGGAAGTTCTGGCTTTTTTAATGTGTGAACTGACTTCAGTTTCTATTCGCCCATCGTTGCTGATGCAGCTGACAAGGTAAGTGAATTGATCAACCACCTAGAGTTCCTCGTTATCAAGGGTCAAGAGGTCATCAAGTGCCTGGTGGCCCTGCAGCGACACTTCGTAGTTTGAAGGTGCAAAGCGCATACCAAAAAATGGGACCACTCTAGACAGGCTATTCAGGGTTGACTGGGCCGCCGCAATATCGTCAGAAAGTATGACGATATCGTCCGCATAATCAAGATCAAAGAACCTTTCACCAGGCAGAATCTTAACGCGTACATCGTGAGATGCCGCAAGGAATCACCATGATAAAGTCCACGACGAAATTGAACACAAATGGGGGAATCGAACAACCCTGATGAACGTCACTTGTTGTCGAAAAGCTATCCGATAGATCACCGTAGACCCTGACGCGACCTGTAGTGTTCGAGTATGGAGCTCGTACGATGTTCACATATTTCGTGCGAACACCTTTCCGCGCAAGTATTCCGAACAGAATGCATCGATCGACTGAAGCGAACGAACTCGAGGAATACAGCTATTGTCGGTCTGCGGTATGAGTGGCGTTGCTCTAGCATCTCCCGCAGAATGAATATATGGTCTATACAGCCACGTCCTGGGCGGAAACCTGCCTGCTCTTCCCTAATCCGAGATTCCCGTCCTTCAGTGAGGCAAGGAACGGGAATCAAGGCCAGCAAGTGTCACAACTGGCGTTAGGCTAATACCCCCTGTGGTTAGCATAGTCTATGCGACTGTCCTTCTCTTATATTACCACTATAATCGATTCGCTCCAGTTAGCCGGGACAATTCCTTCCATATATGTTCGAATACGGAGGTCAGTGTTTTGCAGAGAGCTTCACCCACCCCCCATTCTTAAACAGTGCAGGTGACAGAGAAGCCGGGCCAGTGGCACGAAAACGATTGAGAGCTGTGATCGCGTTTTGGACCTCGGCCTCCGACGAAGGCTCTAAACTAACCGTCCATCACTCAGCCTGCATCACCTGAGTAGAAAAAGGCGCGGGAGCAGGTAGCTAACTGAACTGATCTTGACAGTGTTCCGCCCAACGAGCCATACAGAGCTCATTATTGTGTAGCAATGCACCCGAGCTGTCTCGGATTGTCACACTAACGCCTGGTTTCCTACAACTGGCAGTGCGGATCAGCTGGAAGAGCTTGTGATAATTGCCTACTGTTCCTGCCTCCTCTATTTCTTGAGCCCAACTGGTCCACCAGGCTTCCAGGTCAGCACTTAGGCTCTGCTTTATTTCGCGCCTAATGACCCATCTGGTAACATTGTGCTCAGAGCCAGTCGGGAGGTTTCTTCTAGATTCCAACAGGTTCACCGACTTCTCGGATATCTAGTGACTGATGCGGTGACGATTGATAGTGGCACAAGCAGATGCTCCTGCGTCGTGCATGACGCCGATATCCTATTCCACTGAAGCTCAGTGTCATTAGGACAAGACAGCAAAGTTCGGTACGCAGTGCGTCTTGATAGGCTTCTCTGACAGAGGGCTGAGACAATTTCTCAGTCGCCAATCCGGGTAGACACTTTGTGCGCCTCCCGGTTCACGGAGTTCATGGGGAAACGACAGCGTACCAAGACATAATCACAGTGGACGCAGGTACTCCAGAACGAGTGGCAATCCAAGATGGAATCACGGCACCTGTAACTTATGGCAATGTGGTCAATTTGCGTCCAACGCTGGCCAGCTATAGGACGCCAAGTGGCACTTCGGCGCCCACTGTGTCTTAAAGCAGTGCTACTAAAAAACAACTGGTGCTCCGCACACAGTTGCAGCAGACGCTCGCCGTCGTCAGTCCGTCTGTAATGCTCCATACGGTGACGAATAGAGCAGATATATTGGATAGCAATAAGTCTCTTCCGTATGTTAGCAACGATAGGTGAAGGTTTTATAATCGCGGTTACTGAGTCGTAGAGCAGTCAGAGCAGACTTCACCACACCAGGCAGTGTACTGACCAGATGTCAAGTCATATGAAACAGGTAAGACAGCCGACAGCCAACTTTCTGACGTTAACATCCCACACGAGTCTACATGATGGTGCCACAAAAGATCTGCTCAAGCGTTCTTTAAAAGTTTAAACCCACAGAGTACAGCTAGTTATAGTAGAATAATGGGGAAAAGTCCCTTCCCATCACACCACAACGACAGGAATAATCAACGGCAAAGTGAGAAGTATCGAAACGAAAAGTCGAGCGGAAATAACTCGTATAAAAGGATATTAACCCGAAAGCGACTGAGAACCACAACACCAATGCATGATGTCGCTCATCGGAGGCGATAAAAATGAACAGTGGCCATTGAAATCCGCAAATTTGCAGTCAGCATGGCATGTACTAAGAATGGTAACGAGGATTGGCAAAATGGTCGGTTCGTCAGCTTCGTTCGTCAAACGATGTGGAACTCATCATTAGTTTCTTAAATCAACTTACACGGGTTGATAACCTGCGGCCAGTTGTGCGAAGAAACGAGTTACAACCATGGTCGGTTGCAAGTCACAGAGGGAAATGCAAGAACCGCACCGGCGGTAAACCTACAATATTCACACTTATCATCTATCAACGAAATCCAAGCCATACAACGCGTAGCAAGTAGTAACTTGGTCCGATATCAGTCCGAGCTATTGATCGCTCTGCAAACGAGAGACAACCACAAGTGGGTGTTATACCACACATGCAAATAAGTGTCAGCTATGCTCACCTGCAGACGCGCGTCTCCAGCTTCCTTCGTGTCAACGGTGAAATATGCAGGATAGCCGGCGCGTAACGTGTCTGATTCTAGGCCCGGCCCATAGCATTGTACCCGGTTGGGGTCAATCTTGGCACGCACGTTTACACGGAAAGGACTATCTGTGTGCAAAGGATAAATAGAAGCAAGTAAATAACAAAACGATGCGAAACAACATAGGCAAAAACTGCGCTATGCAGTCGCAGGAGAAAAACGATATCATGACGGTGGGGTATGAAAGAAAGTAAGCGACGGCGCTCAGGAACTCGCGTTACAAGCAATATGTCGTTGGTAAACCCAACAACTTTGTTACCCCTATTTAACTGTTCGCGTACCGAATAGACATGATCATACAACCAAGCAAATAGACACGATCATACAATCAAGCAAATAGACAGTGATCGACCGCAATCGGGAATAAAACTGCGCTGATTCGAATGCAGGAAAACGCAGCACAGCACAACACACACATCAGCGCGCCTAGGAGGCGCATGCGGATGTAGACGGTGGCTGAGATGGAGCATTGCACCATACGATTGGCGCACACAAATGGACTCATCGATCAATTAAAAAAGGTGTGTTGAGCGCAATCGGAGCTGATGCATACGCCATGGTTAGCCGCATACCAAGTTAAGACAACACAAAGAAAGTCGAATCCTGATCGCCTCGCATCCACAACGCCCCGCAACACACCCATCAGTGGGTTAACTCAGAGATTGTTCCGAGAAGCTAATGATGATGTGCAAGGTTGATATACGCCGAGTTCGTCCAGAAAGAGTGCCAAACGTAGCAAGCAAACGAGAGGTGGGTAAACCGTATTCTGGGTGTAACGGCGTTGAAATTTGTGCAAACTAATGGCCAGATAAGCTTAACAAGTTCACATACAACAACAAAAATAGAACAATTAGGACCAGGATGGCACATACACCTCTGGGATGGCTGGGTCAAGCAATGCTTCAGTTTCACCGGAGGATGGCATATGCATCTACGGTACAGCCATCGATTTGCAATGTGAAAAAGTGAATGTAAAAAAACTTATGGGACTGATAGAGGGATGTGCTTTCGTCAAAATATACAAGACGCTCGAATGTGCATGAGGTCACAAGTCAGTACACAGGATAGGGCAAGTAGCAAGGGAATGATAAATGGTGTGAGCGGGTGGGCAGCCTCCTCATATACGTGCCAGTGAACAAGCAAGCTGAGCTCAACGCATTTCAAATACAATGGGTTGTGAAACAAAGCGTAGTAGATGCAGGCGTCATGATTAATGTAACAACAATAGTAAAGAAAAAATTAAAAATGTGTGTTGTAAAGAGAGAGAAATGAAGTGTAAGAAAACGAAAAAGCGCCGTAGTTGTAGGACGGAGGAGCGAAAGTCTAAAAGTGAGAGAGTGAGCTATGCCACCAAGAGGTTTCTTTTCCTTCTAAGCATTTGTGTAGACGATCCTGAGAAATCCTAATCAGGTCCATGGGAAACAAGCACGATGCAGTCCTCCAACTTCATTGGGGTTTGGCTTGACAAAGAACCGAAATATTGAAGAGAGAGGAACGATATAGGCTGCAGGGGAATCGATCGAATTGCTCCCGAAAGAGTTCGACCAGATATAAGAATCGATGTGTTTCAAAGTGAGTCAAATGTCTATATTTCCAAACCGCAGTCCCGTTCACTGAGTTCTCTAATGAGCATGTACAAAGAACAATCTTGAAGAGAAGTAAGTCGACTCTAATGACAACAGACTTGTTTAAAATGTTTCGAAATACTGATAGCTCGGTTGATGAATCAATTGTTCATTTGTTCTCTGAGCTTGGCGGTTTTCTCGCAAACGTTACACCACCATGCGAGGTGGCATTTTCAGTGCAGTGATATGTAGCGTGGACGTCCAATGCGGCATTCAGGCCAGTCGAAAAATCGGCGCAGACTCGCACTTTACCGTTCGGCTTTCTCACAACGACAATCGGCGCAGCCCATGAAGAGTAGTTCACTGGGGTGATGACAGCGGCTCGTTCCAGTCGGTCGAGCTCCTGATCAACTGCTGTCATGGCGGCATACGGTACCGGTCTTTTTGCTCTAAAGACTGGCTTGGTTCCTTCACCAAGACACAACTTTGCTTTGAACTTAGTGCAGTGGCCGAGACCATCTTCAAACAAGGCGACAAACTGCTGCTTTAGCTTTCTGGTCATCTCTTCCATCGACAATGATGAATGTACTGAGTCGGTTTGTAATCTATTGCAAATCTGACTCATTGGAACATCAAACAGTTGTAATTTTTCCATCCAGTCAAGTCCAAGGAGGTTCAAGTTTGGTCGATCAGACAAGTAGCAGGTTCCGGCCTTTTCCACTCCGTTGAATGCAATTTTGCAATTTATTTCTCCGACCAACTTCAGCACTCCACCGGATGCATTGTGGGCGACTTTGTTGGAATCAATCATCTTTGGCTTCTTTATGTGCTTCCAAGTGTTCTTGGAAATGATCGTTATATCTGATGCCGTATCAAACTGCAGGCGTGTTGGGATTCCGTTGATAAGCACAGTGATAAATCGGCGGCGTGTTTTAGAATCGCTGTGAAACGTAGCAATCACCGATAGTGATTCTGCGTCAGGTTTTCTGAAATTCTTCCTTCGGTAGGACTGCTTCACATTTCTTGGCCGGGACTGATGGCAAAAGTCTTCCTTGTGGCCGCGTTTATGGCACTTATCACAAATATGACGCTTGAATGGACAGTATCGTGCGAAATGCCATTCACCACATGACCAACAAGGTGTAGGTGGCTTGTTCGGCTTTCTGTTGAACGACTTATTCGAGCCAGGCTTTCTTGCTTTTTGCACAGCATGAACAGTATCGGCAATGGTGGGGCGACTCTGCTCAATCATAGCCGTGTCGTGTTTCAAGGTAATTAACCGTTTGCATTCGCGTACAAGAGACTTCAATGTCAAATCTGGGTCTTGATCCAAATTAGCAAGGAGCCGAGTGCGGATTTCCGCTTCGCGTGGAGACTGTAAAGCACTGACAAATATAAGACACTTAAACTGGTCATCCGTCAAACAGCGTAAGTTGAAACGTTCACATTCACGGTTAACCATGTCTGCTAGTGCCCCATAATCGTCTGTATCACGCTTTACAATTTTTAGACATTGATAGCGAATGCTAAACAAAGATGTCGACTCACCAAAAATTTCTTTGAGTGTTGCCACTGCTTCGTTGAAAGTGATGTCCTTCGGCTCTTTGGGCAATATGTGGTCAAGGAATCTTGTATGTTCATTAGTACCGAGCTTGCGGAGCAAAAGACGCACTTTCCATGAATCATCTTGACGGCTGAAATCCGTCTGGAACATATCCTCCCAACGTTTGAACCACGCCTCAAAAGTGCATTCGGAATCAGCATCATAATGAAATTCAGTGATTGAATTCGTAAGAAGATCAAGTGAAACAGCCTGCGTGTCCCGTGTAGCTGCTCCGTTTGATTGTACGTTTAAGCACTGCGTTAAACTTTCAATCAGTTTCATTTGTGCTTCCATCTGGGATTGTTGCTGAAGAAGCAGCTTTTGAAAATGTTCGATAGAAAAATTTGTAACATTTTCGTGCTTGTCCGTCGCCATTGTTAGACCTTCACTTTTGTCGCTATTCCGAATTAACCACCCAGAAATTTCTCCGCAAAAATTTTAGCCCAGCCGAAGCAAAATCAAAATTCCAACAGTCTTGACCACGAAAAACGTGTTAACAAAAACTCTGCCAACGTAGCCAGATAATGCCGCCGAAAACACTGTCCTCTCAACTCTGAGGCAAAAGTCCAATTAGCTGGGTGTTTGAAAACGCATTCGTCCGCTCGATCGATTGCCTGATCGACCGCACGGGGTAGGCGATTCCCTTCAGCCCAGCTTTCAATCACCATTATATACTTTCCCTTTTTTCTTTTATGTTTTTATCTGATTCCCGGATACTTATATTCCCCTACACGCTTTGCTATCCTTGGGACATCAAGTCAGGAGCCAAGGAGTCATCTTCCGCGGTTCGATCGGACTAAAGGAAACCTCAGAAATTCACCTGCTTTTGAGATATGCCAAGCTGGGCAAACAGGAAGTTGCGAATATGCTCACAATAGCATGTTGGAGGCGATTCGGATGAGTACTCGGTTGAGCTATGCTGTTCCCTACTGATAACTGAGGTCAACATTATAATTGGTATTGTTGCTTCGCCAATCAATAGCGCAGATAGTGCACAAGGGAACACAAAGTTGCGCAATTTGCCATAACAGCGAGTGTCATGCCCTAAACTGACCAACAATTCGGACTGGTATATGAAGTGTGCAGCTGACGGTATGGTGGTAATGGGCCCAGGAGGGTTGCTGTTGTGAGTATCGTGTGACTAAATGCGAATACATGTGCTGGAAAAAATATGTAGGCTGGGGGCGCAACAGAAGAAAGCGGCCACAACGGTCAGTGCGATACGCATCAACTTGAAATGGTCTGCTGAATAATATTCTAGTTGTGATATGCGACCAGCTTGCGCAGCATTGTGACTCGCAACTTAGGCATTTAGAATAAAGGTAGAGTTATCCATAATATCTTAGTCGGCCTTCTGGTTGCGGTTGGTTGCAACATGTTTTGAAACCAGGTACTTCGTTTTCCGTCACTGCTTATTAACTTCAATTTTAGACTAAGTAGCTGACTTGTGAGCATGTAATTGCTCACTGAGACCTGCTCAGTGACGTTGTTGTGAGCGAGCTATGGAATAAAGATCGCCAGTGGTGTGCGCAAACATAGTGAATGGAGTTCAAAACCGGAAGTAGCATATTCAATAGGACGCCAATGTCTTGTGTGCGCGTTTCAGAGACAACAAGCAACAGTGCAGTCAGAGGGGGTCAAAATCAGGTAGGCCATCCTTCACCGGTAGGTTTGACGCATGATGCAGTTGTTACAGAGTCATGGATGAAGTGGGGTCCCGGTTTGTAAAACGAACAGATACCGTGAGGAGCAGTCCTGCTTCGGCTAGACAGAGAAGGGAGCTTTGCTAAGGGCGAGGTTACATGTGAAAAGAGCGCCAGCGATAGGAGTATTTGAGGTTTATACCCTGCGGTTACCGCGGTCAAGAGTGGTGTGGCCTCTGATGCGGTCGTCCGGTCTACAGGGGAGCATATGGAAAATGGTAAAGCCTCCTTAATGGATCATCTTGATGCACTCCTTGTGTGAATCGACTGCTGCACGCAATATTGACCTGGACCGGGACCGTATCTGAAACAAACAGATATTGCCCGCTCGCAACACTGCACTCCATGACGGGTTCGTGTATGGCAGAGGGAGAACAGATAGGCGACTAGAAACCGAGAAGCCGGGACTGGCAGCTGAGGCCTTTAGGGTTCGCCACCGAACCGTAGGTAGCACTTATCACAACGCATTTAAACGTTGTTAGTTTAGTACTCCTAGAAAGCCTATGGCTTACTTCAAAAAGCACACCGAGTACACATGGACATTAGAAGCGCTTTCAAACAGATAAATAGGAACACCATAGGGCAGAAATTGAGGAAGTGTAAAATGATTGGCAGATGGAGTAAAAAAACCATGGCACACAGTACGCGACGGTCCATCTTCTATATGTAACATTCTAGCGAGCAGAGATTAGTTGATAGCAATTCTAGTGAAAACATTCGCAGAAAAAATAGCTCACTTGGAACATCTTCGTCATTGAAGCGGACGAATACGGAATAAGCCCCCGGCTCTGTGGGCGTGTAGTAGACGGTACATGTGCCATCGCGGTTATCGCGACATTCGATAGGCGCTTCACTAGCACCCTCCACCGCCAAACCCAAACCGCCCTGACCAGCACCAGTGAGGTCAACTGTGAATTCCGCCCGTGCACCAGGAATTAGGTGAGGTCCATCCTCCAAACCGGGGCCAAAGGCTTTCACGCGGCTCGGATCGCATCCGGAACTGACACGCACAGAGAAAGGACTCCCAGGTACAGGAATACCATTATAGTATACTTCGATATGATGAACACCTGGTGAAGCAGAACACATGTGGAAACTGACGTAAGTGACGTTAAATAGGAAAAGTCTCCCACTGTATCATCTTTAAATGATATATTATTTAATCAGTATGTTCTCATAGAGGTGAGACACGGTCCAACATAGGTGATCTGATCATAGGGTATAGAGGAAATCCAAGTAGAAATTACAAGATTGCTATACAAGAAGAAATTTGATCCCCTTTTCCATTGATTCTTTCATGATTAATTTCGCCTCAATGAGGCTTTGGGTGCCTCGACCGAGTTAAAATCAACTTAGGGGAGCAGGTAGTGAAATCTACTTACCAGCACTGATCCTCAAATCAAATTAAATAGATCATTTTCTTAGGTCATTTATAAAGGTGGATTAGAAGTACTGCTAAACAGCTTGATGGTAGCCGGTGCTTAAAGTAACCGTTTGACGAAGCGCACTTATATGACGATCTCAGGTGTATTAGACACAGGGCAGAAAAAGACGACAATTTTGGCTATTGAATCCGCTTAACCTGTGTAGTACATCAGCTGAAAAGTGATGGAAGTAGCGAGGCGCCGCGCACTCGTTTTAATCCAGTCTTAGTGTAAACAAACAAGTATCAACCGAAGTCCCGATTCACAGTGACACTGTGGCATAAGAACGGTTGGAAGGGGATTGAACGGCATAAGTAGAAATTCCTCACATCTAGACTCATTCAGATAGCCATTATGCGCCCGGAAAAGCATTGTACGGCCATTTCAGCCACTAGAGGATCGTGAGCACTACGCATTCGATCTGACTCTTGCAGGGCTCGAACCCGCAACTCGGCTGTTGCCACTCTGTGGCTGTAACTACTGAGCTACGGGGGATGGTAATGACCGATGTGACTAAGTTACTAGCTGTGTTTTATAACGCCGCTCATTATCCACTGGCACGCACGTTGCTTCGTGCAGAGGATAGGGTAGCACCCTCACTGAGCGACGAAGTTACTAAAACTAAACCGCCAATTAACTTATGACATTATAAGCAGGTCGCTCTGCGTATCCATTACAGGGGAGTGGTATGGGGTTGAATAGTATGGGCGGAAATCCATCACAAATGGACTCAGTTAGACAGCCATCCCCAAAGAATGAAACGGCTGTACAGTGCCTCTCTGGGTGTGTAACGGATATCTGACTGGATTTCGATGTGATTAATTTCGACGTATAAGAACGGTTGACTGGATGAGCTAATGTCAAGCAAACAGATCGATTTAATTGGATGAGTAAGTAATAATGAATGAAAATGCAGAACGAGAACAAGTTGCCCTGGGAATCAAACGCAGCGCGGAGCTCATGGATCTTTCGGTAACACTGATCTAATAAATCATAGAAGGCACTACATCTTAGATACATAGATTGACGTTTACGACAAGCTCCCGGTGTTGCATTCTGTCAACGGATAGTAATCGCTCGTTGGTTACTGTGTTGGGAAACAACCACAGGTTCACCCAATGTGAGCGTAAATTTACATCATGAGCATGCAAGTGGATCAGCAATGAATATGGTGAACTAATAAGTCTTGGAAGCGAGATCACAGGGACTTACCCTCCTCAAGTGGAGTATAATTGCACACATAAGTACCGTCCATACCATTTTTGACTTGGCATGCCATTTGTTCGTTATTCGGCGAAACGACAACAGCGGTCACATCACCTTTTCCGGTTGGATCAATCGCCGAAGCGTCGACCGTGAATTTGACATACGAGGCTTTGAAGACTCCTGAGGGTAAGAATTATGGTGTAATCGTTTAAGCACCGAAGTAAGACCGCATGTGTTGTGTCATGCCCTCGGATGCCAATAATCATGCAAATGTAACAAATACAGCTAATTTGCTCCACTCGACAATACAAAAGGTAGACAAAAAGCATGTCAACGTACGAGTGTAACAAGCCATTTCATCACACAATGCTATGGAAACGATACACGTTGCGGTCCAGACAAGCGATGCTTACTCTCGAGGTGAACAGATGCGGTAGTCCACATGCCACCTGAACGTCGAAATCCCCAACGGGTGCACATGAACCGAGGTGTGATCATCAACCAGATTTATCTAACAATGCTTTAAGAAGTACAGAGTGAAGGGCAACGTGCGACATCGCGTTATGAGCAACAAATGAGAGAGTAGAACATGCTAAACATGCCACAGAAAGAGTAGAAGAACAAAGAATTTAGGACCGTGCAGGGGGCGATACGCAGTACTTGGGAAGAGGAACGAGTGCGGTTTATTGGCATGCAAAATGGAGGATCATGCTGTCGCCGCAGCTGACGGTCCGCGAATTCCGGTAGAGCTTTTCGGTGCCTGTGTTTAATGGAGATGCGCCATTATGCACCGCGTAATAGTAAGGGATATGTAACTTCACATATGACAACTCATAGTTTCTTGGGTACAACCGGATGACAAATAGTAATGTTGGAGCCAGACCTGAGCCACTTCACAGGCGGACTAATTGGATGGAGGTAAGCGGCTACTGGATAATGATGAGCCAATGAACAGTGGAAAATTTGGAACAATTACCCCACAAATAAACATAAGATAAACAATCCCAAAGGGTACCGATGAGGAAGCCCGCGGTTACCCGGCAGACAGTGGTTGCAGCATAACTGAGCACCTGCAGTATATAAGGTTATAGATACTATTAGCCACCTGTCAACAAGTTCCTTGGAAAAGGCGAATCTCGGACTTGTCTATAGCAAAGGGGATGATCACCAGAAGAGTCCTTTGAATGAGATCGAGTCATGTAAGAATGCTGCCGGAACAGCATCGATCCTAGAGGAGACCAGAGGGTAATTGAGATTCAGCTAGTCCATCCCAAAGAAGCTTCCGTACAGTGTTTGACTATCAATAATCTCTCACATAAGGTATTTGATCCAAAGTAATGAAAACTAGTACCTTACCGGTCAGCAGCTTCAAGCAGTTATTCACAAGCACAACCTCGTGTAAGGCTGCTAGAGAATGAAGTCAGAAACTTTCTATCAGTGAACGAGGAAGACGGATAATACAGTCGATTGCTGATATTGGCATGATTCAACGAAACAGCAAAAACTTACTCGAATCAAACGCGGTGACTTTAATTTTCTGCATATCGACTGACGGATGGACGGGAACGCACACGGGACTTTTCAGAGTAGGTGAGCCGCCGAACACCGGGGAAACATAAACTGCTGAGCTCCCCGCGGCCGGGGTGTAATCCACGCGGAATGTTCCATCTGGTTGTCTGGAAACCTTAGCGGGGATGGAGCCTCTCAGATTGTCAGAAATTTGGAAAGTCAAAAGCTCTGTCAAATCCGAGTCGCCCATCTCATACTCGGAAGAGATATCGCGAAGATTAGCGAAGAAGAACGTAGGTTGATTTTGCATGCTCGCACTCAGGCCAGGACCCCAGAGCTTAATTCGATCAGGCTGAATCTCAGGAATGAAGTTGACCTATGATAAGATGAAAAGGTCACAAAAATAATATGCAAAGATAAATAAAGTTAGTTTTGTTCTACGGTCCAGTGGGAGGTTCTAGTATGGAAAAAGTGCGGACGACGGGAAGGCAAACGCGTAATATCAGCAATAATAGGGATGAAAGGACCAAAGTTAGCAAGCATTGTGTATTGAGCTGAAGGCCTGATAAAAGAGCATCAACCTACCCGAAACGGAGTGCCTTTGATAGGGATATTTCCTACTGTGGCAGATACAGTGTGGACTCCTGATTTCTTCGGAGTGTATGAATAAACAACTGAGCCGTCAGGCCGAAGGCGGTAGGATACGGGCACAGGATCACCTAAGTAATCAGCACATTGGATGCAAAGGATTGACTCCAGATTGGATTCACGGAGAGCTTTATACGTTTCTGATGGAAGGGCGTCTGCGAGACCATCGACGTAGAATTCCACAGGCCTTCCGGCAAAAAGAACAGATCTTGATTTGTCTACACCGGGACCGTGAATACGCACCTGACAATAAAGGGATGGTTGGTTGTTTATGTGAAACAACGGCGCCAACATCATCAGGTAGACACAATGAACGGTTGTAATGTGCAGCAGTTCGGTGGGTGAGCACTGGTCAATGTGCAAAGATGCATAAACTTGCGATGCGGTGGATTCAGTGATAAGGGTCTATGAAGATACACTGAAGTCGGCTCAGCGGAAGCGGAAGAATGCTTTGACCACAAGCACTGCTCAAGCTGAAAATGCACATTCTATGTAATTAAGAGATTGCTATCATCCCTCATTGCACAATCGTGTCCAACGTGGATGCAAAGAGCCTGTAGAACGGTAAATTCACCACGCTAAAAGGATACCTGAGATGGCCCGCGTCTACAATCGTCCCCCACAGATAACTACTGTTGTCAATAGCAAAACAAAAGACATATATACTAATAACCGAAGGCATGTCTATAATAAACAGAGTGCAAACCTTACCAACCAATGCAACACAAAATGGCCATTTTGTGTAAAATTGCATCTCCAGAATTTGTGGGCAATGAGGAAATTATGAGTAGATTCAGAAGGAGAAATCATCTGCATCAGAAATTCACAAGTGCTACCTTGCAGTGTTATCAAGAGCATTGTCATTGGGGTAAGAGACGATAGCTGAATTAATCCGGAAGGCGATGAAGGGCCTTTGGTCGGATATGCCGCATGGAGAATCGGCGCTTGTTTGTGTCACGTACTGGTCATCTATTTATTAGATGATGAGTGGCAAAACGGGAGAACTGCCAGACTGGAACGACACTATCTATTGTGAGTACTCTATGGTGGAAATATCACATGGTGTAGGAGTTTATCCAAAAAAACAGAATTCCCATACAAACCTGTAAATGGCTGGCCATGTTTTACTGTTACGACAGGTTTAGAATATTAGGTTTCAGTGGCCCCACAGTGTCAATAGATGTAAGTAGGCGAGTGCATTCATGGCAGGATGGACACCTGGTTGACGCTGTTAAAGGAAGCATCATTGTATACCTCAGTGAAAATTAGGCTGACGGTCGGTGGAGATGTAAGGAATACCATTTAAAAAATACACAAATGAAAGAACCCGTTGTAGTCACGGGGTAGAATAACAGTTCAGAAGTAGGAAGTAGCAAGTGAGAAATCGAAAATTGTGATATCTGGTTCAAATTCAAAGTTGCTGGAAGAGGTAGGCAAAGTGGATCTGCCTTTGCGTATTAAAACGACCCTCTTAACTGCCGCAAGATAAAAAGATCAATAAAACAACGCGGTCTATATTAGCAATTGATCGAAGTAAGAAACGGGTATCGTGAGCTGAGTTCATTTGATGATTTGCATGTCTGTCGAGGCTAAATGCCCTTGTCGGAAAGCCTGAAAGGTGGGTAAGGAATTACCATCACAAGATAGGAGAATTCGACCGGCTAGTCACACCGATCCGTTTTCGATGACCCAGAGGGGGATGACATAACGACTAGTTAAGTTCAGCCCCGAGGAAATGAGAATAAAGATAGATCCAAAAGAAAGCAACCTGTTGCTCGGGACTGGCAATAGGTGGTCAAAGTGGTAACTAAGCTGAGGAATATAACGCTGGTCATTGTGACCCAGGTTAGGGAACAGATGTCCTACGGATACCCCTTAGGTACAGAGAAAAGTAGTTGATAGATTACAACGAGGCAGAGAAGAAAACAACGCCTTTACAGGAAACAGGTTTGCTACACTTGTGTGCTTACCCGGTCCGCATTTATGTTCCCTTCATCGGGATAGATAATCGGCATGAAAGGTGAGTCGGATATGTCTTCACCGCCGTACATGATGTGAACTGCATACTCCCCTGGTTGACTAACCAAATAAGTAACACGGGCAGTTCCATCGCCATTGTTGAAGCAATCCATGCGGGCCTCACTCGGTCCTTCAATTGAAAAGCCTATTAATGCGATTAGAATGTAGAAAACGATAATGGCCGGTTGCAAATAAACAAAATTGCATAAGGCTACCACTATACTAAAGAAGCCCAAAGTAATATAATGTAGCTCAATGTAATGTAATGAATCAGTTTGAAAGCACACTGTTGCATCGAGACGGATGGAACCAAGCGTGTTCGAGAGGGAAAAATTGTAGTCAGTGAAACCTCAGTATTGTCAGACAACAACTTTCTATCGGACATCATAATACCCAGAAGAAACAGTAAGAAAATAGTTCCATATCCACCTATCCAGAAATAATTCAACATTGAAAGTTCTGTGCTTAACTAATCCGACAAACCGACATTTGATCAGTACCGGAAGTGCAACGATTGGCAATCCGTAGTCAACTCTCCTTCCGCCTCATCGTAGACTTATGCTAAGTGAGGCACCCAAATAGACTTTAGGGAGCATGTGAAACATAATTAGCCATTAACTCATCGCTGGCTCGCAACAAAAAATACAACACTTCAAAATCGTGGTACCGACAACGAGACGGGCAGTAGTGCACACTGACGAGCGCGTGCAGAGGTAGGTCGTCGTACAAAGGCATGTCGTAGGTGAGCGGAAACGAGGTTTTTGCCAAATGTTTAGCCGAGAGCATTCCCACGTGCTCTGATATGCAAACAATGTTCAAACGGAATAGCGGGAGGTAACGAATATTGAATAAACGGCCTACACGAAATGAAGATGCATTTCATCAAACCTAGTACAGTGAAACCATTGGAGTTTACCTACACTTTGGCCATCTCTCTAAGTTGATCGGTTTTATTTTTACTGTTTGAACCATCACCATGTAAACCTTATGGATCCAGACCGCTCTGTGTTGACTACCTCAATATGCTGACCACTTTGAGTTGTCAACTAATGGAGATTTTATTGTAGCGCAACCACAGCCAGTCTATGGCTGTGCTGCTTCCCTTTGTAACGCGCACTTGGTGTGAAAGATCGAAAAAGTGAAGAGGACTGGGGAACTCTAATGGCGATCCGGTCTCAAGGCACAAAGTAAATGTCGCCTGTAGACAGCATTTGGTTTTGAACAAACGGTATTAATTTGTAGCCCGTGGCATGAACGAGCCGGGAACGTCAAAACTAACAAAAGAAACCCTAAATTGTGCCCAAGTATAGCAAACACGAATGATGTAACAAGAGAAAGTTAGCCATTAAAGAAGAGGAAGATTCAAGTGGTGAGCTACCCCCATTGGGGAGGTCAACAGAGAGACCTCCAAGTTCAGCGGTGTTATAACAATGCAACATGTAACTAAAGAACTGGCGCATATCTATTTCCTGGAAAACAAAGAAATGAACAACCTTGGGGGAACATGCCTAGACCATGATAACAATACTCAGGCCAATCTACTGAAACGTACAGGTACGTTAACGGAAAAGCAGACGTTCAGGAGGCAGATCTCGGAAGTTATAAATTGCGTTTGATCTAATTTTTTCAGCAGACTATGAATAGACATGGATCTATCGAGAACCTTGCAAATCAAATGGAGATTCAGTTGTCGCAAAAAAGAAAACCGAACACGATACAGAGTAATCCATAGTTTTTAGAGGGCATGATACTACTTGGTTGTCCAAGTTGAAGTAGAATGCTGGCTTAGGGAACACCACCCCGAGGCCTTGACTGAACAGTTTAACCGTAAGGCAGGGGAGCGAAGTCAGGTAATCGCGCCCGTTGGGAGTCGATGACTGAGTACCCAGTTCACAGTGGAATACAGTGCTCCACTAGGGTGAAGCAAGAAGCAGAGTTTAGTTAGTGGCGCGTCACATCCGACTCATCACGGTGTTGTTAAACGGACATATGTGGCTGCTATACAACGAATGCTTTCCAGGTGAAAACCCATCATGTCCTGGTACACTGGATTGCGTTTTAATGGTCAACAAATTGGACGAGCCGAATGGTCAATCTTAGCTCAAAGGGGCATTAATAATGACCCTGCATATGGACACAATGAAAGTGAGGAATTGCCTCGAAAGCAAATTAGAGGGACTCCATGCAAGCAAAGCATTCGATACTACTTGCGAAAGCAAGCAGTAGTAGACGGTAAACGTTGGCGGCCACTCAGCTTTCACGTCGATGGCCTTTATCAGATTACAGCCGTAGGCCATGGTGGGCCGGAAGTCATACGTCCCAGAAATTCAGTCCCGTCCAGTGGTTCAACTAACGTTCGAGTACCGAGATGCGACAGATACAGTTGGCATGATCAAAGGCATTACGAAAACACAGATTAACGATAGGAAAAGGATGCGCCTAAGCAATTGTTCAAATACAATTGGGACGTAAAGATGTAAAAGGTTCGAACAGAGGAGAGATGACCAAAGCAAACCGAATGCAACAACCACTGGAAGGGTCGCCAGCCAGTGATGCGGTTCAGCTTAGGTGTCTCTATCTGACACGATGGCATGCATCGGCAAGAGCAAGTCGCTCAAGCAGGTTCCGCAAACTTGTTACAGTGCCACCGGTTTGTCGCTCAGTGTCGAGGCCTAATAGAATGAGGTGTACGAAAACAACACGGGCCAAGATGGGCGACTAATGAGCATGCGCATCACAAGTGCAAAAGACACCTTAGTGCCGCACCAGAAATTGCGTTGCGAAGCCTCAACTAACGCAGGTAAGCTACTGGTGCTGCCCGCACCCGGTACTGCAATTTACGACCGCTTTCCTACCCGTCTTGACTCTATAGAATAGCGATAGCCTGAGTTGGGAGTGAAACTTGACACAGTGGTTCAAGCCTTGAGCACAAGGCTCTCAACGTTGCGCTTCACCCATGAATCTCTGACATGTATGTCAAGCAATGCTCGCGTAGTTCAGTGTCTTGGTGATCAAGGCATCAGCCGCCGATCACCAAGTCATGTTCCATTTCCGTCTACGGTTACATCTACCTGAAAGGCTCAAACAAGGAGCGAAGTGCAGTGTCTGAAACGAGAAACGCCAGAACCATCTCCATACTAGGGGCGTTTCAAAATAAACCACGGTCCAAAGTGAGACTGCATTTCGAAACTCAAAGCCACATCTGGCTCCCTGAAGGCAAACAACAAACCAGTTAAATGTCTATTTTCGGTAAACATGGCTGCAATTAAAAATGCTGAACAATAAAAACACGAATAGACAAGCCGGAGCGACACTTGGCTCATGTCCAGATAGAAGTCTTCACCTAGTCGGGATGTCGCTCGCACCCAAATGCTGGACAGATGTTGGCGGCATGCCCATTTGGTATTGTTGCTAGAGCGAGAATAAGGAGAATTTGTAAACATGAGGACATTTTGGCATTACTCTGCAATTATTCTCGCCGTGGTCCCTGCAAAATACACAGAATGTCGGGTAGGTACATGTGGTCGAATACAACTAAGCTCTTGATGACGTCAGTGTGCATCAGCTATACAGTAACACTGGCCGGCAATGTTATGCGAAGAGTAACGCACGTGAAGAGATGGGGATACCAGTGTTCGCTGGATAACTGTTTCTCAGCAGAGTTACTTCAAGCATGATTCTGATAGCCTAATAACCGTCCCACAGATGGTGATCAATGTAAATATATACATAAACATGGTTAGCGGTATCCGGTTTCGGAGTTGCCTGTCACTGTGGTCAGCCACAGGACGCCTGCGCCTACAGAGGGACCGTGGGTGGCTTGCACTGCACCACCCACAGCTCCATCCACACACCACATATCCAGTGTAAACCCGAAGGATAATACCGGGAAGCGTGTGGATGGGAGCCACGTTTCACCAACGGAGCCGGGCCACAATCCTTCACAGGCAAACACAAGCACGCTGTATTCGGGAATCCAGTGAACACAAGGCGGTGGCTGGATCGTAGTCCGCTCCACACTGAGTGCATGGAACCGCTCTTCGAGGCTAGCACGGCCACAAGGACCGTGCACCCCGTCCCCTAAAGCAACGACCAACTGTCTCTTGGAGCCAGTATGGACGAGATAGTGGGTAATAGACAGGTAGGCACCTTGTCAACATGCACATCAAGCGCAGCCACACTGGGGATATCAAGCAACAGCCAATCACTTAAAACGACCAGATTAAATACGATAAATCGTATAATGCACACAGATACGCTGACATAGCTCCGGAATAAATGAGCGTATAAAATAAATTGGTTACGAACAAATTCGCGATAAGTTCAACACGCCAAAAGATGGGTTTTAAGAAAATGCCATAAGCGCGAAAATGTTATTAAAGTAAAGTACAATTAACTTAAGCGACGTGTGCAAGTTAATAGAAAGTTCACGTAGACATTAAAGAGTATATATATATATATATATATATATATATATATATATATGTGCCCCATACTGAGGCTGATGTTGCATTCGTGATGCTTCTTCACCGCAGTTGGGCTAAACCAACTTACACTTAAACTAGGTCTTTTTAAGCTGGATAAATTTCATTCCACTTTATTTGGTTAGTTCTGCCTCCCCGAATAATGTTCTATTAACTGGCCACGTTGTTTACGCTAATTACGCTTATCTTCGGTAATTTTGTTGCGTTTGAAGCATTTTTAAGTAACTTGTGGACATTTCTTACTTATCGCGGATTCATTGCTAACCAACTTACTTCATATGGTAATTTAGGGCATAGTTATGCCACCGTATATGTATGCATTATTGAATTTATTTTATTTCAGCTTGTCGTTTAAAGTGAATGGTTGTTGTTTGATATCCCCGGTGTGGCTGCGCTTGATTTGCATGTTGACAATATATATATTTATAGATTGGAAAGTGAATTTGAAGTACACGTTGTGTGGATGGATTGCGACGCGCAATCTCAAAGTAGACCGCGATTCACAGTCTGTTAACAGACATTGTGCCATCAGAACCACGGCAGAAGAAAAAGGTGAAGAAGATGAGAACACTAATGCGATTAAAAAAATGTGGGAAACGATTTTTTTTGTGGTTTTACACACGCCATTTTGTTTTTGTTTTGTTTTGTGAGTTTTTATGTGTATCAAAGGGATGGTGAAATTGCGAAACAACATTGCCGCCACTGATGTCTGTTGCGGGCCATGACGTCCAGTGTTTCCAACCACTGCAATTCAGCATCTCGTGGTCCCCAACCTGGAAGGCGGACTGGTCCGACTGCTGCCAAACTTGAGGTCGCCTTCTTCATACTCCTTCTCCACGTCATCGGCTGTCCACCGCGGCACTTTTTCCAATCGCTCCCTGAGAGTGCAAATAGCGCTCGACGTGGAAGGCGATGGGCTGGCATGCGCAGAACATGCCCGAGCCAGCGCATGCGATGTCGGAGAATAACGTCTTGAAGACTGGCACTATTCGCCCCAAGCACGCGGTCTCTCACCTCTGCGTTGCTTACGTGGTGTTGCCACCACACCCTAGCAATTCTTCGTAGACAGCGATTATCAAAGACTGATAGCCGCTTCATATCTTCCGAGCGAATAGGCCGTCTCACAGCCGTACAAGAGTACTGCACGGACGGAAGCATTGTACACCCTGCCCTTGAGCTTGAGACTGACATCACGACGACACCATAAATGTCTCAGTTTGATGAATGCAAGGCGGGCCTTTGCAATCCGTTGTGAGACTTCATCTCCAACACCGCCACCAGCCGTGATGCAACTCCCTAGGTAAGTAAAGCAAGGGACTTGCTCCAGAACATGTCCAGCAATGGTGAGCGCGGGTTCAGGCACCTGCCAATCCTGGAGCAGCGTTTTACATTTTCCCGGAGTGAAGCATAGGCCGTACTTAGATGCCTCCATCACCAAGCGGTCCAGAGCGTTCTGGACGGATTTTGGGTCGTCCCCCAGCAAGGCGATATCATCGGCGTAGTCCAAGTCCGTGACTCTTTCTCCAGGGAGAAGCTCAACACCGCAGTCCTGGACACCTTCCAGTGCTCTTTGTAGAACATCTTCGATGGCGAAATTGAAGAGGAAAGGTGAAATAGGGCAACCTTGGCGAACACCGCTGGTCACAGCGAATGAAGAGGAGTGCGTGCCATAAGCCCTAACTTTGCCCGACGTGTGACTGTAAAGTACTTTCAGGATGGTTACAAACTTGTCGGGCACACCTTTCTTCAGTAAACAGTTCCACAACGCAGATCTATCTACTGAATCAAATGCCGCTCGGATGTCCAAAAACACTACGATTGTTGGCCGCCGGTGGATGTGACGAAGTTCGAGAACTTGCCGAAGCGTGAAGATTTGGTCGATGCAGCCGCGGCCTGGACGAAATCCGGCTTGTTCTTCTCGGGGAAACTCCTCTCTAGTCGTTGAAAGCCTGCCAAGTAGGACCGACACGAAGATTTTGGATGCGACGGTGATTAGGGAGATTCCGCGGTAGTTGCAGCAATCGGCGCGGGAACCCTTCTTGTGAATCGGTACAATGACCGATTCTCCCCATGAGCTCGGAACCTTCTCCTCAGTCCAAACTTTCGTGAACAGCGATTGGATTTCGCTGATAAGTACACTCCCACCATCTTTGAATAGAGCTGGTGGTAGGTTGTCGGGACCCGAAACTTTGTGGCGTTTCAAAGATTGGACTACATTTCGAATCTCTGCTTCATTTGGAGGGGCTGTGGAGACAGGCCAAGCATCATACATTGGTGGTGGAGGTGTCGCAGGGGACTGTGTTGGGTGGTTTGAATTGAAGGGCGAAATGCTCTGACCAGCGACCCAATCGTCTGTGAAGATTGGTGATCTTCGTGCCGTCTGCCTCGCAAATCGTCTTGCTGATAGCGTGAAAATTGCAACCAGTGGCCCTGATGATGTAAAACAGGCGGCGGAAGTTGCCAGCTGATGCAGCGGCTTCCATCTCACCAGCTTGTTTTGACCACCAAGATTCACGATCAGAGCGAAGGCTTGCTTTCAGCTGTTGCGTAATAGATCGGCGGTGTTCGTTGTACTTTGCGCCAGCAGGCACCGCCCGTCGACGATCCAGCAATTCTGATGATCTTCCAGAGATCCAGCATTTGGGAGTGGAGCGAGTGAGGCCACAACTGGACAAACCGGCCGACAACAAGGCTTGCTGGAGACTTGACCAGTGTTGATCAACATCCAGAGTGTGAGAGAGAGGAAGCTTTTCGCGAAGCTTTTGTTGATAATCTCTCTTCACCATTGGGTCCTCCAACTTGCAGGCGTTTAGTCGGGTGTGTTTTGACCTAGGCGAACCACCAAAACGCATGCAAACGGTCGCACACACCAGTGCATGATCGGTGGCGACGCATGTTGACCAAAATGATCGGCAGTCGCGTACACTGCCGCGCCAACTGCGACTTATAGCTATGTGGTCGATCTGTGACCAGCGCTGGGTTGATGATGGGGGGCGCCAAGTGGCGTACTGGCTTCCAGGATGACGAATGCATGTTGACAAGGTGCCTACCTGTCTATTACCCACTACATCGTTCATACTGGCTCCAGGAGACAGTTGGTCGTTGCTGGAGGGGACGGGGTGCACGGTTCTTGTGGCCGTGCTAGGCTCAAAGAGCGGTTCCATGCACTCAGTGTGGAGCGGACTATGGTCCAGCCACCGCCTTGTGTGCGGTTAATTCCCCAAATACAGCGTGCTTGTGTTTGCCTGTGAAGGAGTGTGGGCCTGCTCCGTTGATGAAACGTGGTTCCCTTCCGCATGCCTCCCGGTCTTATTCCTTCGGGTTTACACTGGATATGGGGTATGTGGTTGGAGCTGTGGGTGGTGCAGCGCAAGCCATCCATGGTCCCTCTGTAGGCGCAGGCGTCCTGTGGCTGACCACAGTGACAGGCAAATCCGAAACCGGATACCGCTACATATATATATATATATATATATATATATATATATATAATTGGGAAGGAGGAAACCCGCTGGGCTGCAGATGGACGGAGTTAGCCGTTCGAGGAGAAACATGGGAAATCCCTGCACTCCTTCACTATGCAAGCCAAATAACTACACGACCAGTAGATGTTGAAAACTAGGCTCGCCCCATATTCATACATAAATTCCGTGCGACACAAATGTTAACGGTCTCGAATTGCATAACGAAAGGAGCATACAAGCACGCAATGTAAAGCAACAAATCAAACAAAAGTGGAAAGATATGCAAAACTGCTCGAGAGATTCATGCACGATATAGAATGAAGCGTGCAAGCATGACAAATAATATGCGGACATATGATGAATTAAATACTTTGATATCTGAGTAGTTCGCTCACTAATTTTGCTGCTTTGCTCCTGACAGAAGACGGTGAATATGTTGGGATTATTAACCGTTCCAGCAGTCAACCCAGAACCGAATGCTTTGATGGTGGATTTTTTGTAAGGACCGACGACGATCTATATTGATAAGTTACGAGAGAAGGAAGAAACAGTGCTTACAAAAGCGCGTTTGACACTAAATTCCATGTGCAGAAAAGAATTTGAAAACGTCGCTGATACAATGATGTGATTACGCTTGAACGCGACGAATGGGACAGTGGTGCGTCCATACGGTTCGACAATTGACCATCAATGAGCGATTCCCCAATAAACTAGGGATTGTTGCCATTTAGCGGTAGGAAAGTTGCCACAGCTTTAAAAAAAGTCACAAAGTCGAATAAAAACCGGTCGTGAAAATATAGTACACTGTCGCGGTTAACGACACAATGTCTCGAGCATCGGCTGTCTCGTGGCTGCAACCAAAAGATAGCACACTGCATCACATAGCTCGGTTTAAAGTTGAGGCACTTCAGCGGACAGTGTGTACAAGTCGAAAGTGTAAAATTGAGCCTGGAGGAGCAAAAACGTGGGCCCAAAAAGGAATGCACTGTCCACCAAGACACCTGTCATTTGTGAGTTTAAATGGGGCTGATTTGACACTGAAATTCCCAGTGGCTAAAGTGCAATTGGGAAACGACGGTGATCCAGAGCTAAAATACGCCTTGTCTAGAGCTCTTGAAGGTAGGGAACCTGGTTTTTATATGAATAAATTCATCACCTACCATCCGAGAGATGAACAGTTGGTCAGGAAGAGAGATCAATGACAACTGAAAACAGCTACGTTCCACAACGATAATAACTATTGATGGAAAATGCACATCTAAGAAGCATCGAACATGTCTCAGTAGCGCGTCGGAAGATCCTAAGAACGCCTCGCTAGCACCACAAGTCGTGAGCGGGCTATGGAAATCGCATGGTCGACCAAACCTGTGCAGAGTCGAACCGGGGAATCTGTGCAGTAAGTGGTAAAATAAAGTGGAGCTGTGTTCAGATAAGTCAGCGCTACCAATTAGTTTGGCTCGAGCTTCAAACACTTGCAGGATATCGTCAGCAATCTATCCGGATGGAAGATTAAATACGAAGTGATTACGGCAGTGATACACCAGTGTTACGATGTGAAAATCAGATGACTGCTAGAAAAAATTACGTGGTGGGGTGGGTAAGTTATGGCATTAACTTTTGGGCCATATGAGTGCACATTCCAACTTGATGGCGATTCAGACGCCGGAATAATGATGGCCATCCATTAGTTTTAGTTGGCAATTGTATCTTCAGACCAGTGACAAAGAACAACCGACAAACCATGCAATGATAAACGATGGTGCATAACCTGTCAATTACATTAGCTAAACCATGTTTCGGATTCTATCGACAGGATACGCAATCATACTTCTGTTCCTGGACATGGAAAAGGCATTTGATCGAGTACCCCACAAACAGCTGATGAAAAAGATTGCTTACTTTGGAATCCAGGACCCACTCCCAGGCTGGCTATTGTCATACTTGAGCGCCCGTTCTCAGGTACTTAGCATAGCCGACCACCAATCTTTACCACCTCCAAACACTATTGGTGCTATACAAGGGATTGTACTTGGTCCGTTACTGTTTCTGCTCTACGGGTGCGCTGCCAACAATTCCAGATCGATCCCTTTTGGCTACGAAGATTGAGGCATAACCTGATGTTTCTGTACAACATGATTCATCAAAGTGCCCCCTGCTATTTGCCTTCCTTAGAAATACAGCATAGTTGAATAAAGAAGTTACGCAATAAGAAGTTTACCCTGATTGTCTGCGGTCCAACCTTATCATTACCAGATATGCAGTCCTGTGGGATAAACTCCCAGTCATAAGCAGGTCGTGTGAGGGCGCAACGGCGTTTCGCGGTAACTCCGCCAATTACCTAGACTTGAACACGATTATGACCCTGTTCTGTTGGGAGAGATCACTTGATGATTTGTACCAAGATGGGCCAGACAACATTTGATGGGTGAAACAAAAAAATTTCACGCAGTGTGGTACACCTTTGGTGCTCTTGCTATCCCCTAATCTAACTGGTGCACACTGCGTTGAAACACACCTGTGAGTAAATACACACTCTTGAAGCAGCAGACAGGGGAAAATCGCACAACTGTTTACCATTCAAGCATGACCATGACATTCTGTAAAGAAGTAGGTGCGCCAAATATGGACAGTTGCTCACTCGATGAGAAACATACATTCATCATTATTATTACATTATTATTATTATATACATGAAACCCAAGGTCGTCTATTGTTAGTTAAATAACTTCAGTGAAATGGCGACTCCGAAATAACACTAGGCATGTCAAATGTATTATACTCACGAATTGTAATGCGATCGCTTCTAAGGTAAAGTCCATAAAAATACATTTACGATAAGAAGCGACTAGAGTTACCTCGAAAGGACTGTTCTGAACATCTTCACCACCGTAAAGTACACGCAGTAGATATTTACCGGGGCGTTGAGGAATGTAAGAGCATCTCCAAAGGTCTTTTTCCACCAGTTCCACAGATACCTTTTCGGCTTCACCATCTGTGGTTAAAATGGGCATAGAAAAAGTAAAAAAACGATCGAGAAACGAGTTACCTGAACATAGGGTTCACAATCGGAAAACATGCGGAACAAAACACTGTTTGTCAAGAAAGAGCAGGAAACGAATAGGTGCACGGTGAAGACCAGTCACAAAGAGCAAAAACATACTTAATCACAAGGAGTCACTCATAAATCGGAGATAAAATGAGGAAACAAAAATGGCATAATAATAAGAACACCAAGAAAGCGACGGCTGACTCAAGTAAATCCAAGCCTTTGGCTACATGCTAAAGAGTGAAGAAAAGCTGTGTAATACAGGGGGTGTACACCATTTCAACTGGACCGGTTCAATTCATAGCAAGCCTGCGTAAAGGAAACGAACGGCCGTATTACGTTAAGCCGATGGGTCAGAAAAAGGTGCACAATTCACCAATCAGGGACAGTAACATAGTGCGTTGCACATGGGATGGAATGTGTGCGAAAGCATATTGGTCTTTGAAATCCCTCCACCGATGGACTGGCCGGCCGCGATGACAAGCAGCGATCAGCTCCGCTACACATCAATGCAATGATAATGGCACCTAGATTGGTGAGAAAACGTTCGCAACAGGATTGCGAAACAAAGGTAACAGTTCGACTAACAATTGAGCAGCCCGACCAACCAGCATTTGTTTCTACATCGAACCTAACTAATTCAAGCCATCGGGTGCTAGAACTACTGCACGCAGATCACTGCAAATTACGCCATGATCCACTTCGCTTGAAGAAGCGACAGCAGCTGAGAGAAGAAAGAGTAGCCATGAGAATTGTGGCTAGGAAATACAGCCAAAAGAGCAGCTCAACTGATTCGTTTTAACTATGAAGACGCTGAGATAACGAGGCGAAAAGAGAAAAAATTGCAAGTTGGTTGCGCGCATTGAAATAGGAAGACCTGTAATTAGCAAGACTGACTTACCTGCACGGGTCATGTTGGCTTGGACGGAGGCATCTCCACCACACTTTTCAGTGTGCACGTTGAAATGGACCTTGTCTTGAGCCCGGATACCGCGAGCCTGAACCCCCCTACCGGTAGTGTACGCCAATTCGGGGTGGAATTCTACGATGTGCCAAGAGAACAGATGGAATTTGAACAAGATGAGGAAATGTTCACGCTCACAATAACGATGACGCATACTAGGGGAATGCTCCAAGGTGATTACAAAAGGGAAATAAAGCATCGGCAGATAGCGCACGACGATCGGCTTACTAATGAGGTTTGTGTATATTGAGACCGTGTGAGAATATGCACAAACCATTGCACTCCCTAACTTGGAGACAACAATGTAAGCAGATCAATGAATAAAGAGCAGAAAAATCGAATCAAATGCGAGAAAGTTCCACTGTATGAGTCTCCGACGACAGAAGTCTTAATTCGCGTCTATGGACTTAGTGGGTAACATCGAGATCCATCCAGGAGGTTCATCTGTAGGAAGTGCATTAAGCTACGGGGTTGAAGCAGTTAAAACTTCATAATCCATCAAACATATATAATCATACCAGGTGGATGGCATCACTAACCAGACTATTAGTATTTACTGGCTTAAGTGTCCAAAGTTACCAATGCGTCTCTGATCACGACATCATTCTTGGTGACATACAAGGGAACAATAACCAAGGGAAAAGTTGACAAATGCTTATCTGTGCTCACGCGCTCCTCTTAAGCGCATAAATAACTTATGGGAACACAAACTCCCCTTCAAAGTAAAAATAGCTACTGGGTAAGCAATTGTTTCAGAACAAGGCAACCACTGTTTAAACCAGGGGCCAAACAAGGTAGAGGCAGTACACTAAACGTTTTTCGGTTAATCCTTACAGATAGAAGCAAATCAACCACCGTAGCGGTAAGCAATGCCAGACATGAAGATCACCCAGAAACACCGAAACTCTGTCGGGCGGTATCGGCGATGTCGCAGTCACTTCTGCATCACATGCTAGCTAGTGACTATCAGTCTGTTGATGAATGGTGATACACTGAATCCAGAGCAACTTCGATGATCCACCAGTTATGTGAGGGTCAAAGCAACCGGTTTTAACGAAGAGGGTGTTGTAAAACTCCATACTTCAAGGACAAGCGTTTATTGGGCAAAGACAACTCAGCGAAAAATACAGCACGTCTGGCATGCCAAACTCCTCGATATAAGTTACGCCTCCACGCTCGTAACTAACGACCCTTCCGAAGCAATGAGATTCTTCCTTTGACCCAGATAATCAAACAATGATTGACTCACATGAATGTCGGCCAATCCATGTCCAGCCACCAAATCAGTTACACACGTCGACCATTGGCTAGCTGGCTCACACAGTTGGCCAACTCGTTCACTCTGCTGTGACACTCCTATCATACCCTCCACTTTTCGTGTCCTTGTGCCTCCGTATTGCTATACACTCCGTACACCTTCGTCGTATTTACAGCCATTCTCACATTGCCACACCCCAGCGGGTGCTCCACTGCCAGTCCACCTTCTGGTCACCGGTGTCGTCTCAAATGCACTCGATTTCTGCTGAGCGTTTTCCCTCTAACATTTAGTTCTTATGACCTTACACCGACCTTCGCAGTTACCATAACTTCCTTCCACCGATCTTGACCATTAAGTGCTGGTTGAATTCACACTACCTCCCACATTGTTAGCTCAGGCAGCATCCGTGCACCGCGATCGTAGTGCCATTTCTGGGTTGTAATTCGCCTTCGCAAAGTGATCTGTAATCTCTCCTGCTGTGTCAAAACTAGGTGCAAACGTAGGTAGATGGCGGCAGCAACGTTCTAGTCCTTCGACTGTATAGGCGCTGCACTGAGCTCAAGCCGATGTCCGTTGAAATTGTGTTGGGATTCTACAGTAGCATGAGGTACGGGCCTTCGCCAGCTGCTCTAGCCTTTAATAACAGTCTTTGGCCTGCTTCACTGCGGACTCTGTCTTTCCATTCGCCTGAATGTGATATAAGCTGATTTTCTGGAGCATGAATACTCACTTGGTTGCGAACGCCTGGAACGCAGTGCTAGTAAACTGAGGACCATTGTCGGAGACCAGCTCTCCCGGTATTCCATGTCGCGCAAATAGACACCTATGCCTGTTGATTACTGCTACTGTGGTCGTAATGGTGAGTAAATCGATTTCAAAGTAATCACTATAGTAATCCACCGTGAGTAGGTAATCTTTCCCGTTGTCACAGAATAAATCCACCGCCACGTTCTTCCAGGGTCCATCAGGGATATCATGCAGTAGCATTGGTGCCATCTTTTGCCGGATTTCGTGTGAACGGCACGCCTCACAATTCGACACATGATCTCTGATTTCAGCCGTCATGCATGGCCAAACATCAATGCTCTTGCTTGGTTAATGGTATAACTGGCACCCAAATGACAACGATGAACGTATTTCATCATTTCTCCTCGGAGCGAGGACGAAATCAAAATACGGCTTCCCTTGAACAGAAAAGCACCATAGACAGAGAGTTCATCCCGAAGTAGTTCCTTTGGCAGCTGCTTCTTCGTTTCGGGCCAAACACTTATAATAATGTCTCGCAAAGCTGCAAAACGTTGCACCTTCCTCTGTGTGGCATCTTATTTCATTCAGACGATCTTCCGTCACAGCCAGATGTTGTACTCGGTTTACAGCTTCGACCTCTTCTGGATTAAGCTCAGGTACCAATAGATGTGCTCTTGACAGCGTGTTCGCAATAAACATCAATGCACCAGGCGTGTGCACAATATCCACTTCGTAGTTTTGGAACCGGATGAGCATACTCTGAAGACGACGAGGAACGATGTGTAGCGATTTACTGGCTTTCGACACATGCGGTTTGTGGTCGGTATACACAGATGTCTTTATTCCGAAAGTGTAATCGTTGAAACTCTCCAGGGCATAGACGACCTCCATCATATCCTTCCCAATCTGCACGGTAACGGTAAGTGCTCGGCTACGGAAATCCAATAGCTTTGCATACAGTAGGAGAACAACACCTATTCCCTCCTTGCTACTGTCACACTCTACCTCCAGAAGCGGCGCTGGATCGTACTATCTGAGTGCAGCCGCGTTGGTGAGGAGATGCTTAATAGTTGCGAATGCGGTTTCCCGCTCCTTGCCCCAAATCCACTTTGCTCCTTTGTGAGTTAACTTCCTAATCGGCGTAATGATTTCAGTGAGTCTATGCATAAAACGGCGCAGACAATACACCATGCCGCTTAATCGATCGATTCCCTTCACCTCGTTAGGGGGACATCTCACGTACTGCCTTGTTTTTTTTCCTGGAACGACCAGGATCCCTTGGATAGTTAACACATGCCCATGGAAAATAACCTCGTCTTTCTTGAACCTCAATTTTCTCGCGTTTAAGCTTGATGATTTTTGTACACAACGTTGCAAGCAGCGGTGGAGATTAGCGTTATCATCACATACCGCCGAGCCATAAATTGAAACATCGTATGGCACACATGTTACGCGCTCCAAATCGTCTAGCGTTTGCACCAATCATTTTTGGAAAATTTCAATGAACACCTTCAAATCAAACAGTAAACGCATCCAACACTAACGCCCAAATGGTGTTGAAAAGGTAGTCAGGAAACTGGATTCTTCATCCAGAACCACGTGCCAGAATGCCAAAAAGAGATATACCTCCGTGAAATACTTAGCTTTTTTGCCAGCTGCCGCAGGATGTCTTCCAGGGTAGAGAGAGCATAATGATCTGTACGCGGGACCTCATACAACGGTTTCAGGTCAATACACACACACAGTCCATCCGTCTTCTTCGTGATGATTGCGACCTGAGTAAACCATTCGGTTGGCTCGTCAACATTGGCAATCACACCCTCTATCACTAATCTGCTCAACCCAGCGCGGAACCTGTCACGCAGTGCAAATGGAACACTCCTAGCCGGTAGCGCAGTCGGTCGTATCCAATGATCAAACAATAAGTGAGCAGGATAACCACAGACGCATACTGGTCACTAATATGGTTTTCTCCCTGACAAGCATACAAGAAACGATTATGAGTAAAAACAACAAAACCGAGAGACTGGATCGAATCAATGCCGAGTATTGTCGTGAGCTCCTAATTCAGGACCATAAACTCCAGTCGATATGAGGCTCCGTCCCTTGGGTTAACCACTTTAATCGTAGCCGATGATTTTGGAGAAAATCTGGAACAATTCCAATTCGCAGGCAATCTCGGTCGGATCGGATACAAGTTCCGGGACAATGCTTTATTGGTAGAATGTTGACAGTGGCTCTCGTGTCTACCTGGAATCATGCGGCTTTGCGTCCGATCAAAAGTTTTGCGTAGACACACTTTTGCGACATCCTATGAGACACGTTACCAATTGAATCTTCTGCATCTGCGGGTGAATTGTTGCCAACGACCGCACTCACATTGGTGGATTGGCAGTAAGGAGCAAAGTGACGCATTTCCGTCCCCATGCCTGACACTGTTTACGGATGCTCGGGTGTCGCGCGGTGCAAAATCTGCAGATATCCTGTCTCTTGTTAGTAGCCTTTGCTGCTTCATATCCGGAAACGGCACACAATTCTGCATCAGTTGCGAGTCTCATTTGTTGGCTTTGATAGGTGGTCGAGGACTCAATGTTGCGGATATCAATACACTGCTGGAGCGATAAGTTGCGTTGTCGCAAAAGCCGCTTTGTCATACTTACATTATTAATACCGAAAACGATCCAAACGCGTATGTGACAATCGCCCAAGCATTTACAGAAGTTGCGGGTTCGGGTCAAAACCTTCAATTCAGTAATGTACGCATAGACGGATTCGTTTTGGCCTCTGTTGCACGAAAAGATAGCGCTGGTAGGTCTCGTTTGTTTGACCTTCACAAAATCCGCTGAACTTTTCAATGACGGTTTCCAAATTATTGGAATTTGATTTGTTGTAATGCAATGTCTGTAGAACACGTCGCGCGTCATCCCCGGCTGCGTGTCGAAACATGGCCAAGCGATATGCTATCGGTAGTTCGTCCAGACGTACTCATCATCGTCATCAATATGCACGTTAGCTGCAGGTGGAAACCACCTCAGCTATTGTGCCACAAAACCAAAGACAAGGAGAAAACACA